TAATATTTTACAAAATTGATCTATGAGATGCAACTTGAAAAATAAACGAGTCGAATCGTTAAATTCGATGTAATGTAAACCTCACAATTAATCTATATTTTAATAAAAAATAAAATAAAAATCTCTTTCCTTTGAAAACTTCCTATACATATAAATTTCCCTTAATAAACCACCAAATCTAAACTCCCCCTGCTAAATCTTTTTCTGTTTTCAGATAAACTCAATCCCTTTCTTCTTCCCCTTCCTTAAATCCAATCCCATCAAAACTCTCTCTCTCTCTCAAAATTTTCTGATCTGATTTCCTCATTCTGCACCATAAAAGCAAAAAACCCCACATCACTATCTGCAAAACATTCCCACTCTCTCTCTCTCTCTCCTCTCTCTCTCGCCTCTCTCTCTCTCTTTCCTTGAAATTCAGTACCTTTTTTAAATCACACTTTACCATCATGGCTTCCTTCAAAGTCAAGCAAGAATAACAGAAACCCCGAAAGCTTCTTCCTTTTTTCTTTTTTTTTCCTTTTTCAAGCAAAAATGGCTCAGATTCTCAGAGACAGAGTATTCGGAAGCTCCAGACGACACTCGCAAAACTCCAATCCAATTCCAATTCCAATTCCAATCCAACCCGCCATGCCCTTTCACCCAGTTGAAGCCCTCCCGAACCCCTTTGGGGAACTGGGTCCGACACTCTCGGACTCGGAGCTCCGGGAAACCGTCTACGAGATCTTAGTCGGAGCCTGCCGGAGCTCCGGGCCCAAACCGCTCACCTACATCCCACAGTCCGAGAAGACGGACCGGAGTACTCTGACTTCGCTCCCGTCGTCGCTTCAGAGGTCGACGTCGTCGGCGGCGAGCCGGGTCAAGAAGGCGCTGGGTTTGAAGTCGTCGTCTGGCAGGAGACTCAGTGGCGGTGACTCAGTGAGCCAGGGGAGGAGTAAGCGGACCGGGACGGTTTGGGAGCTCGTGAGAGTACAGATGAAGGTTTCGGAGCAGACTGATTCGAGGGTCCGGAGAGCGCTTTTGAGGGTTGCTGCTGGTCAGGTATGTGAATTTTGATTTGAAAGAGATTCTAGGTTGTGTTTGGTTGCTGCGAAAATGATAGACAAGATAGGAAGATGAATTATGAATGATAGAAAAATAGACAATTGTGGGGAAGGAGAAATCAAAGCTTCAACCTTTTTGATGTCTAGTGCTAAAGGAATCAAAATTTGGTTTTAATTTTTGGCACTTTTGTTTTGAGACAAGCGATAATCTATATTAAACTAATCTAAGATCTCGGTTGCACATGGGAGCACATCCGCTCTAGCCAATGTGACGCAAGCGTCTGCAATTTTTGATACAATTTTTGGTTGTTTGTGTTATCTCTAGTCCAGCTTAGTGAATTGTTGGTATTTGTTTATATGTTTTAGCTTGGACGGCGAATAGAATGCATGGTATTGCCCCTTGAGCTATTACAGCAGTTCAAGTCTTCGGATTTTCCTAACCAACAAGAATATGAAGCTTGGCAGAGGAGAAACTTGAGGGTTCTCGAAGCCGGACTTCTATTGTATCCTTATTTGCCTTTAGATAAGAGAGACACTGCTTCTCAACAACTCCGGAAGATTATTCATGGGGCCTTAGATAAACCCATAGAAACTGGAAAGCACACTGAGTCGATGCAAGTTCTTCGCAATGCTGTTATGTCTCTTGCTAACAGATCAGTTGACGGTTCTGTTTCTGAGACGTGCCACTGGGCAGATGGGTTTCCGTTGAACCTGAGGCTCTACCAAATGCTACTAGAATCGTGTTTTGACCCGAATGAAGAAACATCTGTTATTGAAGAGCTTGATGAGGTTTTCGACCTCATAAAGAAGACCTGGGTAGTTCTCGGAATAAATCAAATGCTGCATGATCTTTGTTTCTCATGGGTTTTATTTCATCGTTATGTTACAACTGGCCAAGTGGATAATGACCTGCTGCTTGCATCCAGTAACCTGTTGGCGGAAGTTGAACAAGATGCCTATGGCACAAAAGATCCATCTTATTCGAAGATCTTAAGTTCGACATTGAGTTCGATATTGGGTTGGGCTGAGAAAAGGCTCCTTGCTTACCGAGATACTTTCCACAGTGGAAATATTGAAGCGATGCAAAACATTCTCTCTCTGGGGTTATTATCAGCAAAAATACTGGTTCAAGATATTTCTCATGAGTACCGTCGGAAGAGGAAAGAAACTAATGTGGGTTATGACAGGGTTGATGCTTACATAAGATCATCAATACGCACCACTTTTGCACAGGCAAGTTCCCATATTATTTTTGGGCTTCGATTAAATAAAGAGGCCGTAAACAATGTATATTATGATAGGAAATATTCTTTTTATGCCTGTTTCTTGTCAATGATCAATTGGAAAATCAGGTTGATAAACTTTAACTATCTAAATTTTGGGTATAAACTGATCCAAGTTTTTGTATGTTGTCTTAAGGCAGAAACTGGAAAAGGTAGGTTCTCGCAAGCGCTACTCGAAGAGCCAAAACAATCTTCCTGCCCTTACCATCCTCGCACAAGAAGTTAGTGAACTGGCTTTTAGTGAGAAGGGGATATTTGGTCCAGTATTGAAGAGATGGCACCCTCTTGCAACAGGCATTGCTATGGCTACGCTGCATTCTTGCTATGGAAATGAGCTGAAGCAATTTGTGGCGGGTCTCACTGAGTTGACACCAGGACACTATACAAGTGCTGAGAGCTGCTGACAAATTGGAAAAAGATCTTGTGCAGATTGCCGTCGAAGATTCAGTGGATAGTGAGGATGGGGGGAAATCGATCATAAGGGAGATGCCTCCTTACGAGACTGAAGCTGTAATTGCCTAATCTGGCAAAGACTTGGATAAGGACAAGAGTAGACAGGCTGAGGGAATGGGTTGACAGAAATCTGCATCAAGAGGTATGCATTTTCTGTTTCCACGCACCAAAATAGTTGACAAAGAAGAGATACAAGCCTCGGTGCTTGCTTCCTAACATAAAAGTATATTTTGCTGAAATTTCTTTGGACAGGTATGGAATCCAAAGGCAAACAAAGAGCGGCTTGCTCCTTCTGCTGTCGAAGTTTTACGCATTATAGATGAAACGTTGGAAGCATTCTTTACGTTGCAGATACCCATGCATTCTGTCTTGGTTCCAGAACTGATGACCAGTCTTGACAAATGTATTCAACATTATGTTTTGAAGGCCAAAGCTGGATGTGGTATAAATATTTCTTCGCTTGCACTGGTACATTGAATTTTAAGTTTTTGATCTCCATAATGACTGCCAGTTCTCCTCTGTTACTTGTGCAGGGACCCGAAGCACTTCTGTACCTGCTTTACCGGCTTTGACCAGATGCTCAGCAGGATCAAAATATGCTGTGTTCAAGAAAAAGGAAAGGTTGCATATAAGCCAGAGAAGGAAATCTCAGGTTGAAAGTACAAATGGGGACAGCTCATTTGGGATTCCGCAACTTTGTGTGCGCATTAATACTTTGCAGCTTATTCGAATGGAATTGAGAGTTTTTGAGAAGAGGATAATTGCCCATCTTGGGAGCTCAGAAACCCGTCAAGGGGACAATATAGCAAACGGAGTGGGCAAAATGTTTCAGCTTTCCGCATCTGCTTGTGCTGAAGGAATCCAACAACTTTGTGAGGCAACAGCATACAAGGTCGTTTTCCATGACCTAAGTCATGTCCTCTGGGACGGCTTGTATATTTTGGGAGTTTCGTCGTCTAGGATTGAGCCATTTCTTCAGGAACTTGAGCAATACTTGGAGATTATTTCGTCAACTGTGCACGACAGAGTTAGAACACGAGTCATTACTGATGTAATGAGAGCTTCTTTTGATGGGTTCTTGTTGGTTTTGCTAGCTGGAGGACCTTCTCGCACTTTCACACAGAAAGATTCTGGCTTAATCGAGGAGGATTTTAAGTTTCTGACTGATTTATTCTGGTCAAACGGGGATGGACTGCCGGCTGATTTGATTGATAAGTTATCGACCACTGTTAAAAGTATCCTCCCTCTGTACGGTATTGATACTGACAGCCTTGTTGAACAGTTCAAACGTGCAACTCTGGAGAACTATGGATCTTCAGCGAAATCCCGGCTTCCAATGCCTCCAACTACAGGCGAGTGGAATTCCAACGAGCCAAACACACTTCTACGTGTCTTGTGTTATCGGAATGACGAGACTGCAGCGAAGTTCCTTAAGAAGACTTATAACTTGCCTAAGAAGCTTGTAACAACTTGAAAAGATTGATGAAGGATAAATTCATCGGTTGAGTAAGGATCATTTTCGGCTTGGCTTATTCACGGCATCGCCCACTGAAAACTCTGTTCGCGTTTTAGTCGGAAGATCTGTTCAGTTTGGGTGCAGAATATAGAGATACATAGCATATTTATTGGTCCACGTTCTTGCTGTTTAGAGCTTTCACCACCGTCGGTCCAGAACTTCAAGCAAGCATGTGAACTTGTTCTTAGTGCATAGGATTAACAAGGGTTTAGCAAATATTTATACTATTCGTTATTCTAATGTGTCGATTACTTTGCCGAATGCAGTGGGGGTGTATGCTTCAGCTTTCTTTCTCCGTCGCGTTGTTCCTACTACACCACCGGCATCACACGACAGAAAAACTGCACGATATGGAGAATGATAATCTGAAATCTAACCGGTTACGAGAATTTGGACACAAAGAGGCTTGAAGAAACTGTAGATTTGAGTTGTAACTTTGGATGTGTGGGTAAATAAGTCATGGTCTGTAACATTTATTCCTTTGTTGGCTTGAAGTTCTCTATTTCAGAGTTGTGAACCTACATTTTCCCGATTGTTTTCGTCCCCGGCTTGTTATTCTTCGTGATGAAAATAACGGAATATCTTTATGTTCGTTTTTACGTGTTGGATACAAAAGAATACGGAAAATGATTCACCGGACCGAACTGGTAAAACAATCCTGTTCGCTTCCAGTTATCGCCGGTGTGAGTAGTTTGATTTTGCCTGTGGTTTTTCGCCTAAACAATCTGTTAAAAAGATTATGCTGTAAAACGAGTATACAAGTCAAGATCCATATCACAAGTGGCTACAAAATCTTTTGATCGATTTGGGTTTTGTAAGAAATGATCAACTAAAACTATGCCTGATCTCAATCACTTTCTCCAGAGGCCCTCTCAGCGTTTCTGTATATATGTCATGAGATTACAGATACGTGACCACAGATTAGTGCCAAGGATTCCTTTTCATTCCGCTCTTCTTTGTGCCACTCATTGAGCTCGATTTCTGCAAAGGAAACAGATTCAGTTCCTGTTACATCGATAGAACTGATAGCCATTACAAATCGACACTACTGAGGAAGAGCAACGATCTAATACATACCGATTTTGACTTCTTTGTCTTTCCTCGGATCCTGTTCTTTGGCGGTTTTAGTTTGTATAACCGAACCATCCAATGGTGTAGTTGTGAACACCTACGTTGATTAATATCCACAGCGTAATCAGAAACCGGCGTGTTTTAAGTTTTGAATAATCAGTTGACGGTCACATTACTCAAATATATATTGTTGCAGACAAAAATCTCATACTAAAAGATCGTCTGACCTCTTCAAAATGAGTAAGTTTGAAATGTTTCTTTCCGATTTCTGTTTGCCTCACCCTATCAAAGCCTTACCGTCTGTGTCCACAAACCTAAAGTAAAAGAACACAAGATGCACTGTATTACTCACAGCCGGAACAAAGAAACAAAGAATTTAAGAAGAAAACTCTACAAATCAGCAAGCGATGTTGCGAAAATGCAGACCTGTAATAAGAGAGCTTGTACATGAGACAATTTAGCATAGTGGGGGTCGCTTGATTGTCAATGCGATACTGGCCATCCCTCTTTAGAAACGAAGACAATACACGACATGGTTAATGACTCAACAATAACATCACTAATATCTCAACGTCTCAAATCATAACCAGGTAGGAAAATAAAAAAGAAGATGAAGGAAATGAGGGACTCACTAAGTAATCAGGTTCCTTGATATGAGGGAATACGCCCCCTCCAATTCGGACCATCCACAAGAACTTGTTAATATCATCACTGGGGTAGCCAACAAGACCTGATAGGTAAAGTTTATCTATCAGAATAAGGTTTTACTTTCTTTTTATACTATCACATCATGCCAAAAGGAACAAACCTCCAAAAACAACGAGGACATATTTTACATCCAACGAGTTGAAAATTTCCCAAGCTGCCTTTTCTGGTGAAGACATGGCAGTACCCACGGTTGCAATATGCGTGTTGTTCCATGTATTATTGTCAACAATGACTGTGCGATTAGCCATGGCAGTAGTTTGGTACCCATAATCCCACCAAGAGGCAACCTGCAACAAGTTTATAGAAAAAACGAATATTAGTTAATATCTTCATTTGACAAACAGCACAATTTGTCTGTCAAATTAAACTGAGTTGATACAGAGGATAAAAAGAATATGGCGAAGAACTCACTTTATCATCCACCTCAGTGTTGTGGCTTAGCCACGCATAAGCCTCTCTAAAATCATCAAAAACATGAAGACCATCATGTGAATGAGAAGTTAGAACAATAGACGGGGCTGAATAAGCTTCTGCTGCTGCCCAGACACAATGAACCTACAAAATGAATGATGGCTCAACTTCAGAGGAGTCGCATGTCTTTTTCAACTCACTGTTAAAGTTGATAAGGAAGATATATTTCCCCCGGAAATTGTCTCAGGTTTGAAGAATGTATAACTTTGAGTGCCATAACATACTACAGCATACAGTATGCATATGCATCGGAACCAGAACTGATACGTGATTTAAATCACACAAAATGGAGAACGAAGAAAATTTATTTACCACATAGAAGGCTCCAAGCAACACAAGTAGAAATATAGCAAGAATAGATCCCTCAAATGGTAAAACCAGAAGCCTCTTTTCAATTTGAGATTTAATGGAAGGCTTTTCAACCGCTTCCTTTTCCTTCTTCCTGTTCTTTCTCGAGGGTCTCTCCTTTAATGTGTCTGCACTTTTATCTGCTTTCGGCACTTCATTCTGGGATACAGTGTTCTCGGAACTGGTTTCCCCTGCCTTGAAAGTCAAAAAGACAAAATCAATGCTATCCTTGAATAACTTATAAAAACGGCTTGGTGAAGGAAGACCAGCAGTGGAAAGCAAGAAGCTTACATCAACTTGGGAAGGCACTAGAAGACCAGGTAACTGAAACTTGATTGATCGTGTGAAAACGTCAAAAGCTTCAGACAGAGCAATCCCAGACATGATGCACGCTGCTGGAGCAAGTACTAGCATAAGTCGCACCTGTAATATTAGTGAACAACAATATTAATATGAAATATCATGAAAATGGGAAGAAAAATTGAACTTAACCATGCCAATAATAATTCCTTACCATGACTCCAGAGAAATATACTGATGTTACAATATAGAGGATCACAAAAGAGCTGGCATCTGATAAGGGTGAAAAGCATGCCTACCAACAGATATAAACCGTAAAAACAGTGGTAAGGAACATGAATATATGAATAAAAATCAAAATATAGTGACTTGAGAAACTAAAAGAAAAGTATGGTTTTCAGATTCGATTCTTACAATAATTCCAGCTGGAACCAAGAAGGCCAACACATTAATGTCCATAAAGTAAGAGGGCCAAGTAGGAGGCTGGTGCTCGCTAACACTAGCAATAATTGGTATGTACTTGCTCGCATAAGTTCTGAAGTGAAAAAAATAAAATACAAACATATAAAAGTTACTTTGTCTCTCAGTTAGGCAGCACAAGTATTCATGACAAGTTATATAATACAAACAGGTCAAATGGTGACTAACATCTCAAGTTGGGACGCCGCTGGCCTCGAGGGACCAGAAGGGGGGTGAATTCTAAAAGGGTCATACTATAGACACCAAAAAGAATCCAAATTATCCTAGTGATCCACTTACTTTTTCCTGTGAACCCCATTATGTTAGCAAATACGATATTACCAAGTCATTTACTAAGTTACTTTGGAATTCCAAACTTGAGATGTATTTTGGTGCTTGCCGTATTATGCATTCTAAAAGAATTAGCTTGCTGCCGCATCAGGCCCTCTGAATAATATATCAGACCATAGCCAGATGTTTGGAAAATTTCGGAATCAGTTACTCCATATTAAGTTACGCCCCCAATTGAAATTTCTGCTTCAGTCAAGTCAGTTCGTCCATTAAACCAAAGGTTAACAAACAAAGAACACACATAACTAGCAAATTATGTACTTACGGATCAAGTAGACTTAGACTTCGTCCACTCCATCCCTTTGTTGGGCTGGAAGCTACCAGAGCTACAAGTACTGCTACCACAGCTAAACATACTAGCCTGGAAAAAGTAACGTGAGAGGCATAGAGATCAATTTTGTGTTCAATGTTTGAGAACCTTAACAAATTTTGAGGACAGAACAAGTGAAGCATACAGGCCAATGGATACTACAAGCGTGACAGCCACTTTGAACATTTTCGGAGAGAGAATCCCTTTGATATAGTAGACAAGAGCGACCACATGTAAAATAATAAAAACCTGCAGAAGAAAATATTGCAACAAGAAAACATATTGTCAATAAATACAACTAACATGAAAGGCAGTGATACAAAGTACAAGAAATCTAGTTTATGGACAAAATGAAGAAAACATGTGGACCACACCATATCGTTGACATATTCATCTCAACTCTTATCTATATTTAACTTCTAATCAGTTCGTTATTTATACAACCTTTTCTTTAACTTCTACTCATTCAAAGCTTGAAACCCTTCAATTGGTATTATCAAATATCAAAGTTCATAAAAGCACAACCTATATTTTACAACTGCTTTATGAAAGTCAAACTTTTATAAGTGGATCAGTCCAAGACAACATACACTCTTATGAGTTCCAAGGTTTATTAAAAAAAAGTAGAATAATGGTCATTACAATGCAAATCTAGAAACAGGCAAGCAAGCAAAAATGAGAAGTCAATGAGAAAAGAAAGTTGGGAAATGCTCACCAAGAAGGAAGCAAAATGTTCTGATGTCATGACAGCATTGAATCCAACCACCGGCACCAAAGCCGCTAACAACGTTCCCAAAACAACCTGCATTGAGAAAGCTATAATTAGGAACCAAAAGTGTCATTTTGAAGTAGATAGAACTGACCTAATGTCACGTCCTTAACATTATCCCAGTGTTTCAAAATTCAGAGACAGGTGTCAGAAAGTTCAAAGGGAAATCAACTATGTACTAAGCTTTTCTCACATCCTAGTAAATGATGACATATTAAAGGAGAGAAAAACATGGCAAATTCTTTTCAAAAAGTTCAAAAAAAAAAAAAAAAAATTCAACATAGTAAATGAATCTTGACCGAAGTATTTTACAATCAGACAGTATGAATTTAATAATTATCCTATTAACCATATGAATTTAATATTCACCCTTCTTTTCCATCTAGTATTTCTAGCTCAAAACTGTTGAGAATGTTCATACGCTTCAATTTTAGTGCCAAATGCATGTTCCTCTTGTTTTCAATCATAGTTAGCTTCATTAGTATTGCGATACTTACAAGAGGAGCGTATGCAATGTATAGACGAGAGGAGTAGCGGCCAGTTGCAATGCAAAGAAGCACATGCATTGGAATAAGGTTAATAATAAATGTGTAGCCTCCCCAAGAGCAAACCTGAAACAAAGAAACAAAATGCAATCAAAATAAATATCAGAGGAATTCATAAAACGACAAAACCAAAAACAACACTAGTACATATACTTACCATGTAAAAGTACGCTATGGCATTAAGAGTTGCATAGAAGAGGGATCCTGTATTCAGAGTCTGCATATGATGTATAATGTAGTAAGAAAATATTCAAGCATTATTTTTGAAGCACATTATATTATTCCTGTAAAATATGCCAATGATACAAACTCAACAGTTAACAAAATCCGATCATTATTCATAAACCACCACCGTACTTTGATACATTAATAGAACATGAATGAATTAAGTAATCATTTCAAAATCTAACCTTTATATAAAGATAGAAAGTGAAGATCAAAGCAAAAATAGCCACAGCTTCATTGTCATAGCTTCCAGCAACTGACCGAGAAATATATGACGGGACCTGCATACAAAAACATAAAACAAGCACAGCTAAGCATTTGCTTTTACCCGTTCCAAATGTTGTAGAGTTAAAATTACCCGCTATGTAATTTACCATGGCTATAAGAGCAGCAGCTGTTAGTCCAGCACCAGCACCCTTAACTTCCTGAAGAAAGAGGCAATTGAAATCATCATAATATTGGAGGACAGTAACCAAAATCTACAAAATAACTAAGGCTTGAATACAAACCCGAGTCAGCAGGTATGTTGCCCACGATGTGAAAGCAGAGAATATAGGGGCAGTAAATACACAGATAGTTTCCACGGAAAGAGGAATGTTCAATGAATTCAAAAACCTGATAAGAGAATAAGAGGGCAATGAATCATAAATATTGGCTAAAACAAGAATCACTGTAAAGTAGGTCCTTTCTCTCTTCTCCTTCTTCTCCTTTTGGGTTGTGGGGAACACATACTCAGTAGTTAAGATCCGAATGAAAATAAACTTTTTTTTTCTAGCATTTCTAGTCATGCTCACCACCATAGGGATCCTGCTGTCAAGGTCAATCCAGGGTACACAGTTCCACCAATCACACGACCAAGAGGATACCTAGAATGTAATTTTAAGAAAGTTTAAATTCATATTGCTGAATTACGTAATCTAAGAAATCAAAACAAGAACCCTGCCATGAGGTTTGACAAGCCAGAAAAATTCGAAATTACCAGGTTCGGTCATCAAACCAGTTCCAAAAATCGTATATACCATTCTTCGTCAGAAACTGAAACCAACAAAGAAAGCTGTCATCTTTTATATAGCCTCCCGTCACTACATTATAATAAGATGAATCGACGCATGCACTCATAATAAATTTCAAAACTTTCAAGTACATATAATCCACTAGCAATGCCATCTTATTCAGCTAGAATTATCTGTCCAAGTGCAAGACAGGTTAAACTGTATTTAAGCAAAAAAAATTAAAAATCGGTATACTTGACGGTAAACCAATCTTAAATCAGATAAAGAACCAAACCTGAGTGACTCTGTAATTGAAGTACGGATCAAACTCGTGAATTACACTCTCGTACTTTATAACCTGTAGATCAATTCACGCCGAAACACGAACATGAGGACCATATGAATACATAGTTACACACTTACACTCCTTTTGATTACTGAGAAATGTAAATGTGAATGACAAATCAAAAGATTCAAAACTACAACAATTAGAACTCAACAATTTACAGATAACACATGTCAAACTAATTTCGAAGCACCACTCGGTTCGGTAATTCACAAGAGTAAATAATCAAGTGCAAAGTGGTATAATTTGTACAATTTAACCATATACATATGTACATCAATAGATATACAATTTCAACATTGATGCATTTTCCTGCATTTTCTTGGCTGTCAAACGAGCAACGCTGGATTTTGATATCTGTAGACGATTAGATCCAGATAATAATATAATGATCGAAGAGCTCACAGAGAAGAGCCGGATCGAAAATGCGAGGACGCCGATCAGGATGAGGATGAAGAAGGAGAGGACATTTCCAAAAGCGTGCCTCAAGGTCGTTCCGTTGGGGGTCTCCGAGGCCGCCATTGACGGCCAAATCAAGCTCTGAGCTTTTGGAATAGCGATGGAGGAGAAGACTGAGGTCTGAGGAGGAGGAATGGTTTTTGCGGGCAGCGACTAAAACAAGTGGGGGAGAAGACTTTGTAACACTATGCAGAGCGAGGGGAGAGAAGGGAGAGGATGAAATGACTAAACTGCCCCTGGTGTATTTTGACAGAAGTGTCCTTGTGCACATGTACGTGGCTTTTTGTTATAGTCGTTGCAAGGAGTAAAAGCTCGTGATTGGTTTCGCTCTACGCAATATGTCACGTGGCGTGATATGATAAGTGGAGTAGGTTGTAATAGTGAGAGATTTTTTTGTGCGGCGAAAATACAATTTGGTGGACTAAATGTTATAACATAATTGTTTGAAAACTTAAAAAAAAAAAATATTACAACTAGTTTTATTATAAAACTTAATGTATCGAATCATATTTTTGACATAATAAGTTTCTCTTTGATGGTAGCGGTGCAATTCATTCCTTACAACGGCTTTGGGCCCAGATTCATGCGGGTGGTTCGGTTTTATTTGGTTCCATTTTTTAGCTAAAATTGAAAATCAAATTAAATTACTATTTGGTTGGGTTTTTTCAATTTTGGATTTTTTTTCCTCTGTTTTTTGTTCGATTTAAAGTTATGAGAAATTTTTGCTTATAATCGGAACAATGGTATATCATGTGTTTTTATATAAATAGTGTACCACTCAATGTCCGATTAGATTGAAAAATCTTTTTAAAAATGGGGTTTCATACTTTTGGTCTGCCTAGGATTTTTTAAGTCACGTCCGTTTGCTTTTTGCGATTTAGGGTTTGAAGTGGCTTTATCACCATGTCGGCTTTGACACTGCGTCGGAACATAGACTTCGGCAATGGCGGTGCTTTTCCGGAGATTCACATGCCTCAGAACCCTCTCGGCATGGGGAGGGATAAGATCTCAAAACCCAGGACGAAGATTCTTCCGGCTACGGTTGATGCGAATGGGGACATTGCGTATGACGTTCTTGTAAAGCAGTTTGAGAATTCGAAAGAAATAGTCTACTCCCAACACAAGGATCTCGTGCCAAAAATTTTTTTTGAAGGATGAGAAGATGGATGAGGATGAGAAGGAGGAGGAGTTGCAAGAGGTGACTAGCGGAAACGAATGTGGCAATCGAGAAAACGCTGAACGTAATATTGAGCGCTGCGCAGCCGAATAATGTGCCCAAGCAATCGTCGGAGAAGTCAGCAACGTTTAATTCCGGCGCCAAGGAGAGGATGATAAAGATGGTGGAGAAGCCTGTGGATGCACTTGAGCAGCCAAAAGGGTATACAATTCCGTTGGACAAACGTCTTGTGGCTGATGGGAGAGGCCTTCATGATGTTCAGATTAATGATAATTTTGCAAAGCTCGCCGAGTCTTTGTATGTAGCGGAGGAGAAGGCTAGGGAGGAAATTGAAGCAATAAATCAAGTTAAGCTAGAACTCAATAAAAAGGAGAAGGAAAAGAAAGAGAGGGAGTTGAGGGAATTAGCTCGGAAAGCTCGTTCTGAAAGAGCTGGAATGGATGCGGATGTGCCAAAGGAGACGATAGAGGAACAAAAAGAGAGGTTGGAGCGGAATAAGATTAGCGAGGAGAAGGATGGAGAGAGGAAAACGAAGAGAAGGTTGGAGGCAAAAGATGGAGCAATGGGGAAGAAAAGTAAAACTACTTGAGATAGAGATCGAGATATTAGCGAGAAAGTTGCCCTAGGCATGCCTAATGTTGGAGGAGCGGGCGGCGGAGGAGGAGAGGTTATGTATGATCATAGGCTGTTCAACCAGGAAAAAGGAATGGATTCAGGGTTTGCCACAGATGATCAGTACAATGTTTACGACAAGGGCTTGGTTACGTCTCAGCATACAATTTCAACCCTATACAGGCCTATGAAAGATGCTGATAGCAAAATGTATGGCGGGGCTGATGAGCAGTTGGACAAGATTAGGAAGACGGAACGCTTCAAACCTGACAGAGGGTTTGGAGGAACTGAAGAGAGGGCAGCAGGACGAAGAGATGGACTGGTTGAGTTTGAGAGGGATGTTGCTGAAGACGCCGATCTATTTGGTCTGGACCAATTAATAACAAAGATGAAGAAGAAGGGCAAGAAAGGCACGGACTAGGATGAAACATGAGGGACAATGAGAACAAGTGTTGGTGGGTTGTGGATGCGAAATATTGATCAAACGGGGCTCCAGCAGAAGAAGTATCGGCTTTGAAGGGGGTGGCTAATTAGCTGTTCCGAATCTCTTTATTAATTGTCGTTGTTTTCGTGGGCGTTTTTTTTTTCAGTAGGTCTTATCTAACTGCTATATATCTCAACCATGATTGTTTATCAACTAAAACCCCTTCTTATAACATATTTTGTCTATTTCAGATGGTGGATTCGTATATGGCTTTTAGTTTATCTCAATATTTATGTGGATTTGTTGGCAAATTAGCTCTAGTTTAACAGTTTTTTTGTACCAGTATTTGGGGTTTGGGTTTGTGAGTGATAAGCTTTTGTAATCTCCATGTGATATTAGTGGAATTTTCTCGCGGCTTTCGATCTGGACGTTTTTATTATATTTTGCCTTGTTAAATTAGTGGCCTCATATCTGAAGCTTCTGCACAGCAGTTTGGTGATTTACAACTACATCTACGCATATTAAAATGCAAAAGGCGGTTTAGTTGTCCGTTTAATTAGATTCCGGTGGTTAATGCGAGTATTTTTCCAAGTTGTATACGGAATCCTTTTTCTTCGTTGGATTCAAGCTGTATGCGGAATCCTAATCCCAGAATGATAAGGAAATTAAACTCGTACATCTATCTATATAAACGTACATACATGCTGTATGTGGAATCATAAATTTCGTTCATAGAAGTCGTCTTCTGATTTTCGTTCTGGTTTTCTTGTTTCTTTTGCAGTCTGGTTTAGGTTGTGACTTGAGTAATTAAGACCGTGATGTTGAATAAGAAGAGTATCCAAGATAACTCTAATGATCCCAAGAAGAAGAAAATAGAGCACACTCTTAAAGAAAACTCACAAAACAAACTAATTAGCAAAGCTTTTCTTATTTAGCTCTAGCCTTTGTTTTTCCTTGGATGATATACAATGCTTGGGGACTTGGGTATTTATAGCAAACCAAATGAAAGCTACACCACACACTTACTTCACCTACAACATCCACCTACTTCACCTACAACCTCCACTTACTTCACCAACCTCACACACTTACTTCACCTACAACATCCACCTACTTCACCTACAACCTCCACTTACTTCACCAACCTCACACACTTACTTCACCTACCTCACACACTTACTTCACCTACAAATGACATTGATTCTCAACACTCCCCCTCAATGTCAGCTCTCATTCTTTGCACTGTGCTGAGTAAACAGCGAAAAATTTCGAGCTTGCCTGTACTCAAACTTTTTGTGAACAAGTCCGCAACTTGATCATTCGTCTTGACCTGTCTCATCTCAATCTCTTCTTGCAGAACCTTTTCTCTGATAAAGTGGTAATGTACCTCCACATGCTTAGTTCTTGCATGAAAGACTGGATTTTCCGCCAAGCGAATTGCCGATTGGTTATCACAGTACAATGGTACTCGATAATCTACTGGTTGATGTATATAGGAATTGTAATGGCAAGTGGCAATGCGGATGCGGTAATGTCCTTCACGCGTCTTCTGAAAAGCCGGGAGCTTTTGACAAAGTTGCACTCGCTTTCTGGAAAGCCGGGAGCTTTCGGCTTTGTCTCCCACACTTGTCGGCAAAAGTGTGCAGCTGATTTCTCGCCTTCCACGCGTCTTCTGAAAAGCTGGGAGCTTTTGACAAAGTTACACACGCTTTCTGAAAAGCCGGGATTGCGTCTGACGAGATGGCGATCTTTACGCTTTGAAGAGTGGTGTCTCTTCATTTCTGAATCGGTGAACGCCTCTCCTTTAATAGAGGTGATCGATCACCTCTAGCATGCACACTTGAAAATTGCCCAGAAATCGTCTCCGGCTCGTCGAGATTTCACTCCATCCAACCCTTCTCTTTTAACTTCTTGAAAAATGGCTAGCTCATCTAACCCATCGAACATTTGCTTAGATTTGAGTCTAAGCAATGATCCGGTTGCGCCGCGTCAGGATAAGGTATGGTGCCCGTCTTTCTTATCTTCTCATGGTCCTCTTACAGATGAGGACTCTGTAATGACAGATGCAACAACGGCTACGATAGTAGCTCGGAACCTCCTCACTCCCAAAGATAGTCAGCTGCTTTCAGGACGGTCCGATGAGTTGGCCGTTCAAGAGTCCTTGGCTCTCAGTGTTCAGTGCGCTGGCTCTGTGTCCAACATAGGCCAACGCCTACTAGCTCGCTCCCGTCAGGTTGAATCATTGATGGCGGAGGTGGAGAGTCTTAAGCAGGAGATCAAACAGCTTAAGCACGAGAATCGAAGTTTGCACGTGCTTGCCAACAATTATTCGACAGGCATGAAGAGGAAGCTAGATGAGCTTGATGACCGTCAAAGGCTTGCGGCTTTCTTCCAGAGGCACCTCTTTCCTGGGTCATCCAGCGTTCCACCAAGGTTTGGGGCCTTGAATGATCTATCTTCGGTGCCTCTTGCTCCGATGCCTTCCGCTCCGATGCCTCTTGCTCCGATGCCTTCTGCTCCGATGCCTCCTGCTCCGATGCCTCCTACTCCGAGAGTGTTGCCACGTAGTGGGGCCTCACGTACACAACCCTTGTGAAGGCTCCACCTTTCTCTTTCTTTGTTATATACATTTGTAATTTCTCGAAAATTAATGAACAAGCTTTGTTTTATTCAGTGCATTGGTTGTCTCCCAAGTAGCGCTTTCTTTTACGTCTTGCAGCCGGACGAAGCCTTCTTAGGCTCAATTGGAACCCACGGCATGAAATTTATCTTTGAATGGGGGTTGGATAGTATACTCCCCCATCTTCTGTTGCAGCTTTTCTCCAAATTCTCTAGAGTCTGGTAGCACCTCTTTCTCTGATGACCACCAAGAAGACGCTTCATCAAACACCACATTTCGTGAAGTGTAGCACCTTCCACTTGTTCGATCACAACATTTCCACCCCTTTCTCTGGCT